CAGATGTGCTCAGAACACAACAGTTTAGAAGTATATACGTATAAAGATACGCAACATATCCTTCCAAACTGCTAATATCCCAAACCCCTCCTTTCGAGTGCAAGCATTGTACTTCCCATTTCCAGGACTCAAGTCCGGCTATGTAAAAATAACCGGTTTCCCTGAATCCCTTCACTAAATATTACCGTACTCACACTCCAGCAGATTGTCAGGTCCCAAATACCATTGGTCTCCATTCACTCCTATCGAACACGCTCATGCACACCTGCTGGAAGTCCAAGCCCCTCGCCCACAAAACCTCCCTTACCCCTTCCTTCCAACCTTTCTGAGGACGACCCCAACCCCGCCTTCCTTCTCCTACAGATTTAAATGCACTCCATGTCATTCTACTTTGATCCATTCTCTCTAAATAACCAAACCACCTTAACAACCCCTCTTCAGCCCTCTGAATGCTTTTATTAACTCCACACCTTCTCCTAATTTCCACACTCCGAATTTTCTGCATATTTACACCGCACATTGCCCTTAGACAGGACATCTCCACTGCCTCCAACCGTCTCCTCGCTGCTGCATTCACAACCCAAGCTTCACACCCATATAAGAGTATTGGTACTACTATACTTTCATACATTCTCTTCTTTGCCTCCATAGATAACGTTTTTTGACTCCACATATACCTCAATGCACCCCTCACCTTTTTTCCCTCATCAATTCTATAATTAACCTCATCCTTCATAAATCCATCCGCCGACACATCAACTCCCAAGTATCTGAAAACATTCACTTCTTCCATACTCCTCCTCCCCAAATTGATATCCATTTTTTCTTTATCTAAACCATTTGATACCCTCATCACCTTACTCTTTTCTATGTTCACTTTCAACTTTCTACCTTTACACACACTCCCAAACTCATCCACCAACCTTTGCAATTTTTCTTTAGAATCTCCCATAAGCACAGTATCATCAGCAGAAAGTAACTGTGTCAATTCCCATTTTGTATATGATTCCCTATAATTTAATCCCACCTCTCTCCCGAACACCCTAGCATTTACTTCTTTTACAACCCCATCTATAAATATATTAAACAACCATGGTGACATTACACATCCCTGTCTAAGACCTACTTTTACCGGGAAGTATTCTCCCTCTCTTCTACATACCCTGACCTGAGCCTCACTATCCTCATAAAAACTCTTTACAGCATTTGGCAACTTACCACCTATTCCATATAATTGCAACATTGCTCCCCTATCCACTATTATATGCCTTTTCTAAATCCATAAATGCAATAAAAACTTCCCTACCTTCATCTAAATACTGTTCACATATAAGCTTCAATGTAAACACTTGATCTACACATCCCCTACCCACTCTGAAACCTCCTTGCTCATCCGCAATCCTACATTCTGTCTTACCTCTAATTCTTTTAATTATGACCCTACCGTACACTTTTCCTGGTATACTCAGTAAACTTATTTCTCAATAATTTTTACAATCTCTTTTGTCCTCCTTCCCTTTATATAAAGGGACAATACATGCTCTCCGCCAATCCCTAGGTACCTTCCCCTCTTTCATACATTTATTAAACAAAAGTACAAACCACTCCAAGACTATATCCCCCCCTGCTTTTAACATTTCTGTCATGATCCCATCGGTTCCAGCTGCTTTACCCCCTTTCATTCTACGTAATGCCTCACATACCTCCCCTACACTTACATTCTGCTCTTCTTCACTCCTAAAAGATGGTATACCTCCCTGGCCAGTGCATAATATTACCGCCTCCCGAATTACAGAAATTTTCCCTCTGTTACAGAATTACAGAATTACAGAAAATATCTACCTGGATGAGGACTAACAAACTTACACTAAACATTGACAAAACCTACTTCATTCAGTTTGGTAACAGAGCTACAGATGTCCCTCTTAACATAATGATAAATGGATCACCTATCACAAAACTAACAGAGGGAAAATTCTTAGGAATCCACCTTGATAATAGACTCAAATTTCATACACATATACATCAAATTTCTAAGAAAATTTCCAAGACTGTAGGCATACTATCGAAGATACGGTACTATGTTCCACAGTCAGCCCTCCTGGCCCTATATCACTCTCTTATTTACCCCTATCTCACCTATGGAATTTGTGCATGGGGCTCAACAACAATTAACCATCTCAGACCACTAATTACCCAACAAAAGGCTGCAGTTAGAATGATAACAAATTCTCACTACAGGCAGCACACTCCACCAATATTCAATACACTAAACCTACTCACCATACAAAACATCCATACTTATTACTGCACCTATTACATACATAGAACACTTAACTCTGATATTAATCCTCCCCTCAAACATCTCCTTGCCAACCTCAACAGAACACATGACCATAACACAAGGCACAGATCACTCTTTGATGTTCCTCGTGTCCATCTCACACTATGCAAAAACTCAATGCACATAAAAGGCCCTAAAATCTGGAATTCATTACCTGTAAATATAAAAGAAACACAACCTGTTTATAAATTCAAGTCTCTTCTCAAAGATTACTTACTCACCCAAAACCAAATAAATACTGAATAACTGAACATTATAAATTGTATATCTTAAATGTTTCTCACAATTATATCACATAAATGTTAAACCTAAAACCCAATCTAACTTTATTATTTTTTAAATACACTACCTAACAGAATCACTACCTAACTGAATGCAACCATATGACCTGTCTTTGTAATACTCACTTGTGCTTTATAGTTATCTGTTTACATTAATGTTTTATCACTGATTTCATCATTGCTTAGTAGCAGCGCTGTATAGTCCTTGTGGCTTAGCGCTTCTTTTTGATTATAATAATAATAATAATCATTGCTTAGTTAATCTTAAGTTAATTTTAAGCCAGCCCGTAATGCTATGCATAGTATAAGTGGCTTTGGCATACTGCTCTTATCTGTATTTTTTTTGTACCTCTGTATGTGTGCACAAATTGGAAATAAATAAATAAATTTAAAAGTTCCTCAAAATATTCTCGCCATCTACCTAATACCTCCCTCTCCCCATCTACTAACTCCCCTACTCTGTTTTTAACTGACAAATCCATACGTTCTCTAGGCTTTCTTAACTTGTTTAACTCACTCCAAATTTTTTTCTTATTTTCATTAAAATTTCTTGACAGCGCCTCTCCCACTCTTTCATCTGCTCTCCTTTTGCACTCTCTCACCACTCTCTTCACCTTTCTTTTACTCTCCATATACTCTGCTCTTCTTATAACACTTCTGCTTTGTAAAAACCTCTCATAAACTAACTTTTTCTCTTTTATCACACCCTTTGCTTCATCATTCCACCAACCACTCCTCTTTCCTCCTGCCCCCACCCTCCTATAACCACAAACTTGTGCTCCACATTTTAATACTGCATTTTTAAAACTCATCCAACCCTCTTCAACCCACCCACTACTCATCTTTGCACTAGCCCACCTTTCTGCTAATAGTCGCTTATATTTCACCCGAACTTCCTCCTCCCTTAGTTTATACACTTTCACTTCCCTCCTACTTGTTGTTGCCACCTTCCTCTTGTCCCATCTACCTCTTACTTTAACTGTAGCTACAACTAAATAATGATCCGATATATCAGTTGCCCCTCTATAAACATGTACATCCTGGAGCCTACCCATCAACCTTTTATCCACCAATATATAATCTAACAAATTACTTTCATTACGTGCTACATCATACCTTGTATATTTATTTATCCTCTTTTTCATAAAATATGTATTTCTTATTACCAAATCTCTTTCTACACATAGCTCAATTAAAGGCACCCCAAATTTACCTACTACTCCCTCCACAACATTTTTACCCACTTTAGCAATGAAATCCCCAACCACAAGTACTCTCACACTTGGTTCAAAACTCCCCACGCATTCACTCAACATTTCCCAAAATCTTTCTCTCTCCTCTACACTTCTCTCTTCTCCAGGTGCATATACACTTACTATAACCCACTTTTCACATCCAACCTTTATTTTACTCCACATAATCCTTGAATTAATACACTTATAGTCCCTCTTTTCCTGCCATATCTTATCCTTCAACATTATTGCTACTCCTTCTTTAGTTTTAACTCTATTTGAAACCCCTGACCTAATGCCATTAATTCCTCTCCAATGAAATTCTCCCACCCCCTTCAGCTTTGTTTCACTTAAAGCCAGGACATCCAGCTTCTTCTCATTCATAACATCCACAATCATCTCTTTCTTATCATTTGCACAACATCCACGCACATTCAGACTTCCCACTTTGACAATTTTCTTCTTCTTATTCTTTTTAGTAATCTTTACAGGAAAAGGGGTTACTAGCTCATTGTTCCCGGCATTTTAGTTGACTTTTACAACGCGCATGGCTTACGGAGGAAAGATTCTTATTCCACTTTCCCATGGATACAAAAGGAAAAGTAATAATAACAAGAACTATTAAGATAAAATCAAAGAAAACTCAGATGATTGTGTATAAATAAACGTGTACATGTATGTGCAGTGTGACCTAAGTGTAAGTAGAAGTAGCAAGACGTACCTGTAATCTTGCATATTTATGAGAGACAAAAAACACCAGTAATCCTACCATCATGTAAAACAATTACAGGCTTTCGTTTTACACTCACTTGGCAGGACGGTAGTACCTCCCTGGGTGGCTGCTGTCTACCAACCTACTACCTATATATATATATATATATATGTGTGTGTGTGTGTGTGTGTGTGTGTGTGTGTGTGTGTGTGTGTGTGTGTGTGTGATACAATCAATGAGTTAAGAGAAGCTGACTCAAGACACAACCAAATCTGTACAAAACTGAATATGATTAATTAGAGAATATCTCTAAATTGAATTAAATCAGACAAAAACATGTGAATAACATACTTAAAAGGCAAAATCTCAAAAACTCAAACATATACAGTAATAACAGAGTGAAGGGGGTATAAATGCAATGATACTCAAGATTAAACAAAAAAATCAATGTATTGCACTAGACCTAAGGCAAAATTTCTCAAGAAAAGAGAAATTATCTCCTGAAAGTAATAATTCAGAAGAAATAATCTCTAAAGAATTGAGAGATTTGAGGAGTAACATTCTTTTTTTCAGCAAAACCTCCCAATTTAGTGATTAATGGAGTCACAATCGCATTTGCACAAATATCAACATTGTAATGTACATAATGAAAATTATGAGAAACATATTTGTGTGTGCACAAATTATAAGTCTGGTACATACAAAATGAGCGTGTGAAGCACACTGACTCCTGCTTATGATACAATTTCTTATAGGGAGTAAAATTATCTCTTAACTGAACAAAATGGAAAAGTAAGTTTGCTCACAGAAAACACAATGTTACAAAAAAATAATGGCAACAAAATGGAAAAACTGAATATTCATAATCACAGAGCAAATGAGCCGTAATGCTACGTATTAGAATATAATCATACAATGAAGTTTGATACCTATGAAGCTGGTAAGAGAAACATTTGAATAAAATACTTTCTATAAAGCAGAGAAAGTACATAAGACTTTGTAAAATTAATGGTATATGAACAAAATAACTGCAAAAGTGTATATCAATAAAATCTGAGTCCGAATAATTTGTGTCCATCTGCATCATAGTGAAGACTGAGATACTAGTGGAAAACGTAAAGCAGCTATTAGGCTGCTGAGTTTGTTGAATGCACAACAGAAGTGCTGTTCTGTCTGCATGACTGAAGTCACTCTCCCTCTGTCTCACGAGTACGTAGCTCTTCTTGCATAAGGGAATGACGACACGTGGACTCACTGGTGTGAATCTTTCTGTGTCTCGCACGTATGTTGTTCTTCCTCCTTGATAGATTATTATTATAATCACAAAGAAGCGTTAAGCCAGCCTCCTTGATAGAATAATGCTAGATGGACTGACTGGTGTGAATCTTCCTGTCTTACGCATATATGGCTCTTCCTCCTTGATAGAATAATGCTACATGGAATGACTGGTGTGAATCTTCCTGTCTTACGCATATATGGCTCTTCCTCCTTGATAGAATAATGCTACATGGAATGACTGGTGTGAATCTTCCTGTCTTACGCATATATGGCTCTTCCTCCTTGATAGAATAATGCTACATGGAATGACTGGTGTGAATCTTCCTGTCTTACGCATATATGGCTCTTCCTCCTTGATAGAATAATGCTAGATGGACTAACTGGTGTGAATCTTCCTGTCTTACGCATATATGGCTCTTCCTCCTTGATAGAATAATGCTACATGGACTGACTGGTGTGAATCTTCCTGTCTTACGCATATATGGCTCTTCCTCCTTGATAGAATAATGCTACATGGACTGACTGGTGTCAGTCTTCCTTTTATCTCAGGTCTGATAAGTTTTGAAGAAGTTTTCTGTGTATTATCATCTCAATATAATGCACCACCTAGAAAGGTTAACTATAAATAACCTTGCGGGATTTTCACAACCATCCTCTGTACACATGAAATACATTATTTTACTAAATTAAAATAAAAACCAGTTTTTATTATATTTTATTAACTGTTTTCAAATGTTCTGTTTTTATTTTTAATAATCACTTTTTTCAGTAAAGGATATCGAGGGCCACTGTTTGTGTACACTAAGATAAACAGGATAAATGAAGACATAGAATGAATGATAAACACAACTGGTAACGTCGCTGTTAATTAATCCTCTGTATCCTGAGCCAAGTTGCTGTCAGCAGGTATCAACTGCACCTTGACTGTGTCGTTTCCTGCAGAAAAAACAACCTTAATAATAATGAAGATAAAGAAATAATAATAATAATAATAATAATAATAATAATAATAACAATAATAGTAGTAGTAGTAGTAGTAGTAGTAGTAGTAGTAGTAATTAATAATAATAATACCTAGAAAATGTCTCTTCTGAAAAGAACTAAATTCCAATATTCGACTTTACTGGTGTTATCCCAGTAAAGTCAAATAATATTCATATAATAAATATTTCTGAATTACTTACATTTATACTTATCAAATAAAAACTTAAACGCTGCTAAATCTTATATAAAAGTTTGGATTTATTTTGGTCTTTGTTAGTCCCAATTTGCCTTTTTGATAGAAGAAACTGACAAAATTGAAATGCTGATTTTCATGCGATGATTTCTGAGTGTCTCATCTGATTGTCTTTACTGTTCACCGATAACTTAATAACTTAAATTCTGACTGTCTTCAAACTTAATTTACTGGTTAAGTTTAGAATATCTGTCCGTCTGAGGTAATAAGACGATTCCTCTGATGTTTAACGTCAAACTAGTGTTTCTTAGTGGAAGGTTAGAATTAGTTTAGGGCTGTATATTACTTAATTTACCACTGTAAAAAAAATAGACTGGTGTACTAGCGTCCAAGTGATAACTTATAAATACCAAATCTGATTCGCTTCAAATCTTCAACGTTAATATTTAACTGTATTATGACTATATGCCAAATTCTGCAATAACTTTCCATATTCATTGAGGGCTAGTGGGGCTAGGCTGGGGTTATGCAATACTGGGATATCTTTCCTGGGTCGCCCAGCTATCCGACAAAGGTATTATAATTGTTATTATATTATTGATGCTATTTCGTTTATGGGAGTGAGGTAAACACACAGGGGTCAAACACTGCCTGAAGAGACAAGAGCCAACCAATCAATTTGGTCCAACTAAAGGAAAGAAAGGTCGAAGACCTGAATTATCAGCCCCCTCATTAGCATCGAGCCACATCCACTGTGAAGAGTTTAAAGTGTTTTATTTCTAGCTCCTGGACCTGTTGGAGGGTTAAGTTATTGCTCCTAGATATGGTAGGTAAGACACATAGGCAACAGTTAGGCAACTTTATTCCGAAACGTTTCGCCTACACAGCAGGCTTCTTCAGTCGAATACAGAAAGTAGGCAGGAACAGTAGAGATGTGAAGACGATGTAATCAATCCATCACCCTTGAAGTCGTAGAATTTGAGGTTGTCAGTCCCTCGGCCTGGAGAAGTTCAGTTCCATAGTCAGGAACAGATAGTTCCTGACTATGGAACTGAACTATGTGTCTTACCTACCAACCTGTCGGTATTGTATACCATTTTGATGCTCCTAGATATCTTCGGTGAGGTCAGCTGCGGGTCCCCTGCCTCTGGAGAGTATGCGAGGGGCGAGACAGAGGTTACTTAGGTTATGCTGTACAAAGATACCTTTCTCGCTTCGAGCAGAGACAGAAATACGTTTAATTATTTTGATATTTTTATGATGATAATAACAATCTTTATTTCTACAAGTATACGTCAGCTTGGTCTGTGTATACAGACCTAGCTGATATGTATACAGAAAGATGTGTATATTTAAAGTCCCATGTTAGGTCGAGCATTTAGGGCAAATTGGGTTAATTTTGTCCCCAGAATGTGACCCACACTAGTCGGCTAATACCCAGGTAGGAATTTACTGTTATGTGAACCTGGACAGTAGGTATCTTAAGGAACACGCCCTAATGTTTTAACCCATGCCGGGATCGAACCACGGACCTCACTGTGTGAGATGAGTGCTCTAGCAACCGAACAACGGGACACCATATTTATTATTCTGACTCACGAAATGGTAATAACACGATTGCAAACAAACCATACCACGGGCGGGATTTGAACCCGCGGTCAGAGAGTCACAAAACTCCAGACCGTCGCGTTAGCCACTGGACCAGCTAACCACATTAAGATTCGTCCAACTAGGTATATTTCTACACCATAGGAAGGTTAACACAGGCACCTCTGTGACCACAAATGCAAGTTTTTACAGACGAATCTCCAGCTAGCGTGGCCGTGGTATGGTTTGTTTGCAATCGTGTCATTACGATTTCGTGAGTCATGTTAACGGCTTTGAGGGGACTGGAGATCCGTCTGTAAAAACTTGCATTTGTGGTCACAGTGGTGCCTATGCTAACCTTCCTATGGTGTAGAAATATACCTAGTTGGACGAATCTTATTATGGCTAGCTGGTCTAGTGGCTAACGCGACGGTCTGGAGTTTTGTGACTCTCTGATCGCGGGTTCAAATCCCGCCCGTGGTATGGTTTATTATTCTGATTCGGGAATAACTATTTTAACAAGTTGGGTGTAGAAGTGAGTTAACTAGATTGTGGTTTAGTAAAAGCTAGTATTTTGCAGTGTTAACCCCCTTTTCTTCTAAGTTGCAAGGTTGCTAACTTAAAGTTAGAAATTTATGCCACAACTTGCACTGAATTGCAAGATATTAGACGTCTCACGGATGCCTTTCTCGGATCTCGAAGCCACCAAAACACATCTAGATTATTGAGAACTTACTAGTAGAAAACAGAGCGTTGAGGGCGGAATGAATGTTATCAGTTGTAAGAAGTTGTGGTTTCTTGTGCACGAAGTAGTGAGCAGCGTAACCAACAACAGCAGTCACCAACATTACTACCGTAACAATGCCAGTGATACTTCCAGCACTCAGGGGATAACTTTTCCCTGTGGTATCAAAGAGCAAGTTAATGTAGGAACATTTACCTATATAAATATAAGAGTAAATGCAATGGTAAAGTCACCTATATTACCTGTATAATTCTTAAGGTAGTCATAATGGGGTGCTAAACTCGTAGGGGCACCTATATTACCTGCATAATTCTTAAGGTAGTCATAATGGAGTGCTAAACTCGTAGGGGTCATGTAGTGCCTGGGGTACTGGAAGAAATTAGATTTAATCTGAGAAAATAAAAGGATAGCTCCAGTTCCTTGAACTGAAAGCCCTTCGCCATCATCAAGGCGACTACACGAATATAATTACAGTTATGAAAACACTTGGGTCACCATGACACTCTTCCATCCCTCCTCAGAAAAACTGTGCTAAAATTATTCAGATTCATATATGGATCACCATTCAAGGAGGGTGTGTGGGTGCCTTGATGTCGAGGAACTCTTGATTAAAGTAATCATTGCCATAGATTAATCACCATTACCTTTTATTCCCCAAGCGCTGGAGGACCTCCTGCGGGTGAATATAATAATAATAATTATCTCGACAAGTAGATAGTGTAAGACACTTGACTGACACACCTGGACAGTGTAAGACACTTGACTGACACACCTGGACAGTGTAAGACACTTGACTGACACACCTGGACAGTGTAAGACACTTGACTGACACCTGGACAGTGTAAGACACTTGACTGACACACCTGGACAGTGTAAGACACTTGACTGACACACCTGGACAGTGTAAGACACTTGACTGACACACCTGGACAGTGTAAGACACTTAACTGACACACCTGGACAGTGTAAGACACTTGACTGACACCTGGACAGTGTCAGCGTCAGTGTCACTTGACTGACACACCTGGACAGTGTAAGACACTTGACTGACACCTGGACAGTGTCAGTGTCAGCGTCAGTGTCACTTGATTGACACACCTGGACAGTGTAAGACACTTGACTGACACACCTGGACAGTGTAAGACACTTGACTGATACCTGGACAGTGTCAGTGTCAGCGTCAGTGTCACTTGACTGACACACCTGGACAGTGTAAGACACTTGATTGACACACCTGGACAGTGTAAGACACTTGACTGACACACCTGGACAGTGTAAGACACTTGACTGACACACCTGGACGGTGTAAGACACTTGACTGACGCACCTGGACGGTGTAAGACACTTGACTGACACACATGAACAATGTAAGATACTTGACTGACACACCTGGACAGTGTAAGACACTTGACTGACACATCAGGACAGTGTAAGAAACTTGACTGACACACCTGGACGGTGTAAGACACTTGACTGACAGACATGAACAATGTAAGACACTTGACTGACACACCTGGACAGTGTAAGACACTTGACTGACACACCTGGACAGTGAAAGACACTTGACTGACACACCTGGAGAGTGTAAGACACTTGACTGAAACACCTGGGCAGTTTAAGGCACCTGACTGACACACCTGGAGAGTGTAAGACACTTGACTGACACACCTGGGCAGTTTAAGTCACTTGACTGACACACCTGGGCAGTGTAAGACACTTGACTGACACACCTGGACAGTGAAAGACACTTGACTGACACACCTGGACAGTGAAAGACACTTGACTGACACACCTGGACAGTGTAAGACACTTGACTGAAACACCTGGGCAGTTTAAGGCACCTGACTGACACACCTGGAGAGTGTAAGACACTTGACTGAAACACCTGGGCAGTTTAAGTCACTTGACTGACACACCTGGGCAGTGTAAGACACTTGACTGACAAACTTGGACAGTGTAAAACACTTGACTAACACACCTGACTTCTTGACTTACACTGGGATCAGTCTTGGAGTATTGTAAAGTCAATACATTATAATGATCCAGGATGAGCCGAAACATCAGCCTTTTTCTCTTCCATTATATAAATTAGTTTTAATTTTTGTATTTGATTCATATTTGTTCTAAATTCTGAACTGTTGTCTAAGAGAAAACATTTTGCAACACCATGAATCTTTGAATAAAAAGTTTTCGGTAAGTCACCCTGCATTGAAAAGTATGATGATGCTGGTGATGGGTTCTTGATCTCGGGAAATGAAGCTAATCTCCCATTACTTTGATCAAACTTAATTACATCCAGTTCCAACAGCACAGTGATGGCCCTTAAATTTCAGCAATCTCTAGTTAATCTTAAAATTATTCCATATAATCAGCTTAGTAATGAAGAAATATTGATAAAGTGTATTATAGTGTGAGAGTAAATAAAGAAGAACGAGAAGAAATGTGTCCCTAGATTTATGTTATATCTTATTTCTAAAGTAATGTCGTATGTGTCACAGACTTTCACTAACGTCGTATGTGTCACAGACTTTCACTAATGTCGTATGTGTCACAGACTTTCACTAATGTCGTATGTGTCACAGACTCACTAATGTCGTATGTGTCACAGACTTTCACTAATGTCGTATGTGTCACAGACTCACTAATGTCGTATGTGTCACAGACTTTCACTAATGTCGTATGTGTCACAGACTTTCACTAATGTCGTATGTTTCACAGACTTTCACTATATATCGTCAGTGTCATTTGCAAAATATTCTGAGGATTGTGTTTATGCACATTTAAGTGTTGATGGAAGTAGCACTTGTCTGCTACATATAACCAGGGTTACTAATGCTAGGTAGGCATTACGGTATACTACCAGTACTTACAGTCTACCTCAGTAGCGCTTCGCTGCATGACCGAACCATCATGGCCTGAAGAAAAAAAGTCAAATATTCACTAATAATAATAATAATAATAATAATAATAATAATAATAATAATAATAATAATAATAATAATAATAATAATAACAATAATAATAATAATAATAACTTGATGTGTTTCTGTTATGTGGGGGTTCGATAACGTGGATTGGGTAATAACACTCACGTTGGATGTTCTAGTATATTAGGTGGAATATCTGTGGAGAACCAAGACTGACCTGCCATCTGTCTTACCGTCTCTATTTCAGCTGGCTCGCTGAGTGCCTTGGAGGGTAGCGGTATTCAAATTATTATTATTATTATAATAAAAAAGAAGCGCAAAGCCACAAGGGCTATCGGTATTCAAAACATGCTGTGGTCAGCAGCAACAGTCAGTGATTCACACAGACGGTTGGTAGTGAGTCATACTACTGGTAACTTGTTACTGGTACTACTGGGAACTGATACTACTGAGAGCTCGGCGACGCAACCCCACATGACATTTCGGTCGCTGAGTGATCCGAGAGAGAGATCCCTGTATGTCATAAACCCAGCCCTGTCTACCTCAGTGATCGCATAAGGAACAGTACAGAGTGGTGATAAAATTATAATGCACCAAATATTGATGCCAGTTATCTTTATTAGGGAGCCAGCCAGCTTGGCCCATGGAACTATAATTTATTATTCACAAAATTCTTTAGTGTGACATCACGTGACAACATGTCGGCTGGATTCTTTTATGTAGAGACATGGCAGAAGAGAAAACCATTTTGCATTTTCCTTATTTCCTCTACTCGATTTTTTACATAGACAAAAATAACTCCAGATGACGGTTTTTTCAACGGTGACATGATGGAGTACTTTGTGAAGAAAAAGTGCCAATTTAGTACGTACATAACGTGCTGTCAGTTGCAATTGTGGCACTGTTCTGACTTTCAGTGGTGCCACTCTGGCTCAGGAAGTAACTAATAAATTCCCTTCAGCATTACTCACGTCAGCCACAGAGCCATAACCTCGGGTTGAGGCGCCACAGAACACATGTAATGTGTACGTCTCTCTCTTGGGAAATTTAAATTGGGGGAGTTGAGTAAATTCCGTGGAGATCTCACTCCATGCTTGATTTATTTCTCAAGGTAATCTCTCGTTCCAACCTATTTTGAGTTTCTTTGTATCTTGAATGACAGACAATAAACTACTTTTGGAAAGTCTACTGCATTTTTTTTTATTTATTTATTTATTTGAGGTTCAAAGTATCTTCCTGTGTGTTTCAAATGAGTCCAAGCATATTGTTGCGATCAGTATTGTCAACTTCAAGGAAGTCTAATTATATGAGTTCCCTTAATTTAGTGAAATTAGTGTTCCACCTGCCATTTCCTTGTAAGCTTCTATGTATATAGATTTCAGATCCTCTTCTTTATCCACTGTACATTGAAGCTTGTTCATATTAAAACTTTTGTTTAAAGTGTCTCTGAGTAGACGTGTAGATTTCTTCAAATGAGTGTTAAAAGTAGAGCAACTTCCAGTAGAAATGGAAAGGATGTTGCTCCAAATAAGACAGATGCGTAACGATATGTCTTTACGGTACTTTGAAGGTCATGTAGATACTCTGGCCATATAAATCAAAAGAAATTTCTATTAACTTCGTGTAGGCCTGCTCTTAGAAATGACCTTGGAAATATCAGGTATGTAAGCATAGGGATTTATGCAAAATTTCATGAACACGTTTCCAAGCAACTCTGTAAGTGAGGGTCCTGTCATCAGACAGTCGTTAAGGCTTGCTACTTCCCAGCTAGCACGTGAGCTGCAATAGTATACAACACTTTGGGGTGTTGTTTCAGAATCTTTCCTGACCCCATGCCTTCGACTACTTCCTCAATGAAATTGTAATCCAACTCTTCTTGAATGATTGTATCATATTGGTTACCAGTCTGACTTCTGTGGGCTTTATTTACATCAGTGCCTGTGGTATCTAGGTTCCACAGTTTATCAACTGGTTCATTCATTTCTTCCAGTAATCATTATTTCTGTTGTATAGAGGCCAGAACGTTGTGTAGCTTTAAAAATAGGTTGGATAAATACATGAGTAGATGTGGGTGGGTGTGAGTTAGACCTGATAGCTTGTGCTACCAGGTCGGTTGCCGTGTTCCTCCCTTAAGTCAATGTGACCTGACCTGACTAGGTTGGGTGCATTGGCTTAAGCCGGTAGGAGACTTGGACCTGCCTCGCATGGGCCAGTAGGCCTTCTGCAGTGTTCCATCGTTCTTATGTTCTTATGTTCTTAATGGAGATTCTAGTAACTAGAACATTTACCACTACATTTACATCAGCTTCTGACCCAGCTCACCCTGTGGGACAGGAACTGCAACACAATTCATGTGTCCATCAGCTGTTTTCAGTAAGTAGACATCATATTTACAATGTTTCGCACAAAACAGTTGTAGTAGTAGTCACTTCCGATAATTAAATCGATCAGGCCGATTCTGTTCCTCTTTATGTTTGGAGACGCTAGCTTGACCTTGGCTCTGTAGTCCTCTGATATGTACACTCGACGATAATTCAGTGTAGGTGGGGTTATCATTACGCCTGGTAGCTTGCATGACTAATCTCTTCACAAGAGAAATAGTGCATACTGAAATAATATTTAAATGCTAACTGGTTTGTGGTAACAGATTACGTTGTACAGTGCCACTAGTAAACCAGTCATTTCAGCTTATGTCATATTTAGTCATATTTGTTTAAAGCAATTCTAAACATCTGTAAGTCTAATAGACAGTGTCGAGGTGACTTCAAGCTCACTATCTTGACTGCATGTCTGACTTTATCTAGATCAGCACCAAGGTAACTAATTGTCTTATAGGACCTTTAAAGCTTGTTGATAAGTATCCTTGACCACCTGGGATATTCTAATCAGTTCAAAGAGTTTGCCCTTTACTAGACACTTAAGGTAATTTAGCCTAGCCATTACACCAATAACTGTTCTACTCTCTACCAATGACTTAAAATTATTATTGAATTCTTAAGAGTCATTTCCTTGAAAGACTGGAAGGGCAAACTATGACAAGCTTGCTAATGGTGTGGCTATAGATGAATTAGGTATGACAGTAGTGTGCCCACTGACAACAGATGTATTTCTTTGTAACAGAATTTTGTTAAATATACAAAGTAGATCTGACACTGTCTCTTGTTTATAACTAAAACTGTCTTAAGTTTGTTGGATTTCATTATCTGCAGAATTTTCCCACAAGAATTCTTTCTCATACTGTGTGAATGCATCTTTATATGTTTTCTGACGTCTAGAAAGTAAACCTGGTTTCGTTTCTAATGTATCATAATCTAGTGGTTTCACCTTTATAATCAAATTACATGCCGTTATTAACTTAGTTACCTTCGTAACACTGATTAAGATTCCTAAAAATATATTCCTATGGTAGTGAAGCAGTGTTAATCTATGTTAGTACAGTAGGTCAGTCAGCTGACTGAGATGTGATTATGTCAGCCGGTGCGTGTACCCAGGGACCATGACTCCCTGATATGTAGAGCTCGGTCAGTGGTGACCTTGAGTAGGCGGTACTCGCATGTGGCCATCAGTAGCCCCATGCTATGGTCATTTTATTGCACCATGGCCAGTGAGATCATTGGTGAGTTAGTTATCTTGGCATGTAACGTATGACCTCATACTTGAGACTCCATCTTGCAATGCTTCGACTCGCTGCTGTGCCGAGAATGTCGATGTCAGTTGGCTTGTTAAAGATATAACGGTTATGCCCCGATGAATCACAAAGACGTCTACACTTCTTTCCTCATTTTAGTCACGTTGATTGCTGTTTAGGAACACTGTGGACTGTTCATTGTATACACTAGCATTCTAGTTCATTGTGCACTTAGGCTGTTAAGTACGAAATACATTAATTAACTTGTTCAACGTTACTTGACTTCACCATTACTTGTTTACAAGAAAATAAATAACAAAAAGGCACAATACCGTGACTGGAACGATACACAAATAACCCGCACATAAAAGACAGAAGCTTACGACGACGTTTCGGTCCGACTTGGACCATTGACAAAGTCACACTAACAGAGGAGGAGCAGAACGGCTATATATAGGCAGGAAGAGGTAGAGGTAGTAGTAGTGGTAGTAGTAGTGGTAGTAGTAGTACAAGAATTGTATATAATACCGACAGGATGAAATGACACATGCACAACACCCGGGCATCCCCACCGTAGACGTTTCGCCATCCAGCCAGCCACTGGATGGCGAAACGTCCACAATAAAGACAACCAGACGCCGCACATGTGTCTAATTTCATCAGTAGATGTAGTAGAAGAAGAAGAGGTAGTGGTAGTGGTAGTGGTAGAAGTGGGAAATAAGGAAGACGAGCCAGTCAAATACAAAGGAAGGGGAGCACTGCAAGAGAGCTAGAAACCCACAGAGGGAGAGCAAGCGCACCGAGGTGCGTGAAAGGGGAAGTGGTGAAATAAAATAAAGAAGGAACAGAAACACGAGACAGGAGAGAGAAAGACAACCCAGAGGAGAAAAGGAGAGAGGAAAGGGGAAGAGGAAGAAGAAAAAGAAAAAGAAGAAGAAGAAAAAATGAGGATTCAGGTTAAGTCACGGGTGTTCTGAAGTTTGGAGCATTTTACAATGTAGTGGGAGAGGAAGGCATCTACAGAGACGAAGCCAGGGCTAAGGTTCATACAAGGAAAGTTGTGTATAAGAGAGGATTCAACTAAACGGCGACTGTTCGAGTTGGAAGTAGGAAAGACAGTTTTAGCAGAAGACCAGTCAATAGGATGGCTATGATCTCTGACGTGACAGAAAAGAGCATTGTTAGTGTCGGCAAGCCTAACACTATTTTTGTGCTCCCTAAGTCTGTCAGAAAGAGATCGACCAGTTTCTCCAAAGTATTGAAGAGGACAGGAGGAGCAAGAAATAGAGTAGACACCAGGAACATCTGTAGAGGGAGGAGAGGTATGAACGAGATTAGTGCGAAGAGTGTTAGTCTGGCGGAAGGTAAGCTTGATGTCTAAGGGACGGAGAGAATTGTTGAGATTAGAAAGACCGGAAATGTAGGGAAGGCAGAGGATAGAAGAGTTCCCATGAGTAGAGAGTTTGGGAGAGAAGAAATTGCGGCGTCTGGTTGTCTTTATTGTGGACGTTTCGCCATCCAGTGGCTGGCTGGATGGCGAAACGTCTACGGTGGGGATGCCCGGGTGTTGTGCATGTGTCATTTCATCCTGTCGGTATTATATACAATTCTTGTACTACTACTACCACTACTTCTACCACTACTACTACCTCTACCTCTTCCTGCCTATATATAGCCGTTCTGCTCCTCCTCTGTTAGTGTGACTTTGTCAATGGTCCAAGTCGGACCGAAACGTCGTCGTAAGCTTCTGTCTTTTATGTGCGGGTTATTTGTGTATTGTTTACAAGATTAATTCGTGAATGTTCATGTCTGTGGTTAATGTTCCATAACCTGGAGAGTTACTAGCAATACCTTGATCAGCAGAGTTACCTATTTACATCTACACACTGTATCTCATCTTCAGTTCTCCCTGGATGGTATCAGAGAATAAGCAAGAGATGTAGTGTGGCTTATAAATGGTCCATGTCAGACCGAAAAGTCGTCAAACTTCTGTCTGCTGTGTGCTGGCTATTTGTGTATTGTTCCAGTCAAGGTATTGTGTTATTTTGTTCTTTAACGCTGTCTGGATTCATCTGGTACTTCGCTAAGCAACTCATTCAATTACCGATGTGATTCTCATTCACTGGCTACGTCATTCAGTGTTTTCTACTGTTACTCAGCTGGTTCACTGCTGCCAGCTTCACGTATTATAGTCGTTTTCTGCTGAGATAATATCTGGAAGATTCAACTGCCACCTCTTTCCACAATATAAGTCATGGAATGAGATTCCCTCGACTCAGAGGCTTTTTTAATCCAGTTTATCCTTCTAGCTATATCATTAGGCTTATTATTATCTTATTTAGAATGTCTAATAATAAAAATAGTAAATAGTAACGCGAAACTAGATTGACAGAAGAGAGGAGTGTGTTATTATAACCTGCTATGTCTGGTGTATGACTCCTCGCCCCGTGCACTGTGGGGAAGAGGGAGGAGTCATGACCCCCTTACTCACCCTCCCTTGCAGTGTAGGAACGAGGGAGGAGTCATGACCCCCTTGCTCACCCTCCCTTGCAGTGTACGAACAAGGGAGGAGTCATGACCCCCTTGCTCACCCTCCCTTGCAGTGTACGAACAAGGGAGGAGTCATGACCCCTTACTTACCCTCCCTTGCAGTGTAGGAACGAGGGAGGAGTCATGACCCCCTTGCTCACCCTCCCTTGCAGTGTACGAACAAGGGAGGAGTCATGACCCCCTTGCTCACCCTCCCTTGCAGTGTAGGAACAAGGGAGGAGTCATGACCCCCTTGCTCACCCTCCCTTGCAGTGTAGGAACAAGGGAGGAGTCATGACCCCCTTGCTCACCCTCCCTTGCAGTGTAGGAACGAGGGAGGAGTCATGACCCCCTTGCTCACCCTCCCTTGCAGTGTACGAACAAGGGAGGAGTCATGACCCCCTTGCTCACCCTCCCTTGCAGTGTACGAACAAGGGAGGAGTCATGACCCCTTACTCACCCTCCCTTGCAGTGTAGGAACGAGGGAGGAGTCATGACCCCCTTGCTCACCCTCCCTTGCAGTGTACGAACAAGGGAGGAGTCATGACCCCTTACCCACCCTCCTTTGCAGTGTAGGAACGAGGGAGGAGTCATGACCCCCTTGCTCACCCTCCCTTGCAGTGTACGAACAAGGGAGGAGTCATGACCCCTTACTCACCCTCCTTTGCAGTGTAGGAACGAGGGAGGAGTCATGACCCCCTTGCTCACCCTCCCTTGCAGTGTAGGAACAAGGGAGGAATCATGACCCCCTTGCTCACCCTCCCTTGCAGTGTACGAACAAGGGAGGAGTCATGATACTCTTACTTTACCCTTCCACCCTCTGTTAGAGGTAATTCCTCCATATCATTAATAAAACTAACAAGTCTGAGTCTTGTTTTGGGAAAATCGTAAAAGTTCTAGCAATTTGAAGCTGATCAGATAAGTCATTCTCTAATTATGGCTTGGATTGAGATGATTTTATTTTTTTTAAGTATTTTACTCTGTTGAATACACAAGCAAACCTTAATAGGAACTTTTCTTGTAGTAAGCAACATCATCCATTAAATACTTAAGCCATTCAAAAGATGTAAACTAAAATTTATTTATAAATTATTTATAAATTATTAGGGACAAAACTACACCTTGTCTTTTTCATCGCTGAACTAAAAGGTAACTTCATTGAATATTTGAAGTAATGCCGTTCAGGGTTTTTGAAGTTACGTTCTTCCAGGATGCTGAGAATGAGTTACACAGTTTTGGTCGCAGGTGAACCAGTAGCTGCCATATGTTCAGAGAATGTTAAGATAAGATAAGATAAGATTTCGTTCGGATTTTTAACCCCGGAGGGTTAGCCACCCAGGATAACCCAAGAAAGTCAGTGCGTCATCGAGGACTGTCTAACTTATTTCCATTGGGGTCCTTAATCTTGTCCCCCAGGATGCGACCCACACCAGTCGACTAACACCCAGGTACCTATTTGCTGCTAGGTGAACAGGACAACAGGTGTAAGGAAACGTGTCGAATGTTTCCACCCGCCGGGAATCGAACCCGGGCCCTCCGTGTGTGAAGCGGGAGCTTTAGCCACCAGGCCACCGGCCTCTTTACCATTCACAAACATTGATATTTGACGACAATCAGATTAGATGTTGTCAAGTTATGAAATAACGAATATCAGAAAGTTGGAGGCAAAAAAGAAAATATGGAACAAGTAATTATAGGTCCCACTTGAGGAACATCTATTGAAGGGAATCACTGGGTGAAGCTGGTTAACCTACATAAGAAAATACAGGGTGTTTCAAAATGATAGACCCAATTTCAAAGTACTGCTTCTTTGAAACTGATTATTATTATTATAATCAAGGGGGAAGCGCTAAACCCGGAGGATTATACAGCGCCTGGGGGGGGATGTGGAAGGCATTCAGGCTTAATTCGGGGAACTGGAGCACAGATCCAATTCCCTAAATCAAGAGCCCCTCACCAACATCAAGGTCTTCTTTGAAACTGAATCCATCTCTTTGACTGATTTTTTTTTCCAAATTTTTATTCCACTTATATTACTTTTTTCTCCCGTTTATATCTCGGAATCCACTCGGTCATATCAATAAAAGTTTGAAACTAATAAGACAAAGCATATTTATATATTTGTTTATGTTCGGATTGATTTTCGCAGATTTATTGCATATTTTTTTAATCTGCTTATTCGGTAGATATAACCTTTGCTTTTTTTGGCCAAATTCATTGGTTCGGATTATTTGACATGACTACATATATATATATATATATATATATATATATATATATATATATATATATATATATATATATATATATATATATATACATATATACATATACATATATATATATATATATATATATATATATATATATATATTATATATGTATATGTATATATATATATATATATATATATATATATATATATATATATATATATATATATATATATATATATTATTGTGATATATATATATATATATATATTATTGTGACCACGATCTAGTGGTATTGATCAATAACAACACTGCACTAGCCAAGGACTGGAAACCCATGCTGCTTTGGCCTGCCTCATGGTGGGCGAAAACACATGACGCCCTTATCCACTGAACCATACGATCCTTATGAGTAGCGCATCCAGCGGAACTGGATGTGGTACTCCCTACCCAAGGACACACAATGGTGTGGATGACTCTAGGCTAATTTCATTCTGTGGCCTTCTCTATAAATAGTTTAAATATATTACAATGAAAATACGACTTATATAATTTACCTTTTGAAATTTTACAGATGAAGTGGTTCTTCTCGTAACAACGAGCATAGTTCCATCGTCCGGTAGCAGGAGACATCTTCATGCAGTGTTTGTTACTGGGTGCTTTTCCGGTGCCTGAGTTGACGAAGTCTAAGGCAGTGTGATCACTCCAGCCGAAGCCTTGTTCACCAGGAAAAATAACGGCATTATTTCTTTTATGGTAGAGTTGAATTCACAAATTGAACTGTTATCCTAGCTCATGTCATGACTACTCCTATCTAAGAGATACTTAGGAGTGTCCATGACTACTCCTATCAAAGAGATACTTAGGAGTGGTCATGACTACTCCTATCTAAGAGATACTTAGGAGTGACCATGACTACTCCTATCTAAGAGATACTTAGGAGTGGTCATGACTACTCCTATGTAAGAGATACTTAGGAGTGGTCATGACTACTACTGTCTAAGAGATACTTAGGAGTGGTCATGACTACTACTATCTAAGAGATACTTAGGAGTGGTCATGACTACTCCTATCTAAGAGATACTTAGGAGTGATCATGACTACTCCTATCTAAGAGATACTTAGGAGTGTCCATGACTACTCCTATCTAAGAGATACTTAGGAGTGACCATGACTACTCCTATCTAAGAGATACTTAGGAGTGACCATGACTACTCCTATCTAAGAGATACTTAGGAGTGACCATGACTACTCCTATCTAAGAGATACTTAGGAGTGTCCATGACTACTCCTATCTAAGAGATACTTAGGAGTGTCCATGACTACTCCTATCTAAGAGATACTTAGGAGTGTCCATGATTACTCCTATCTAAGAGATACTTAGGGCAGATGGAGACATGTGGTATCTCGTCAGCCTAGTAAATACTCAGTATTGTAACATAGGCCTTGATTCGTAGATAAGTTGACTTCTGTATGTAATATTAGTCCAAGGGTTAAGGGACTGGGAGTAAATATACAAGAGAAATTGTGGAATTTCTGATCATTCTCAGCGACGAAGAATATATAAACCGATAACCATAGCTGAATGATAGTGTGATATATGTATGATTTACCTTTGATAGTTCTCTCTCTCTCTCTCTCTCTCTCTCTCTCTCTCTCTCTCTCTCTCTCTCTCTCTCTCTCTCTCTCTCTCTCTCTCTCTCATTTTTTTCTCTCTGTTTTACACAAGTTTTTTTCAAGGTTAGGTTAAGGGTTATTAACTTATTTTAACGACATGAACGAAATATAGTTTGTTGACGAAATGAAATAGCTGGATAACAGATGACTCCAACTTCATTCTGATCCCTTTTTGTATTTATAACAATAAAAAAGCTTTAAATGAGCTGATGTTGCTAACAACTCTTAGCTTGTAAATAAAGCTTGGAACGCTTAACCTAACCTTGTAAAACCCTGTGAAAAGAGAGAGAGAGATAGAATTATTTATTCACAGGAGCTTAACTAAAACACGGTGTATTAATATTACATGAGAAATCGACAACTTACCTACCAGACATCGCCTCTGTTACAACGCAAATTAAGAAGACAAATGAATTTAATCATATGTAAACAGTGTTTATATGTTGAGGAGTTGCCACATACATATCTCCATCGGCTCTAATTCGTCGCAGCTTCCGTATGGTCAACTGCTCCTGCTAGATGCGCGGGGTCAGTAAGTGTTAGGAAATATTCCAAACATCTCCACTGACTTCCAAGCTTGAATCATCGACCCCAGGATTGAACCACCGACCCCAGGAGTGAATCACCGACCCCAGGATTGAATCACCTACCCCAGGAGTGAATCACCGACCCCAGGATTGAATCACCGACCCCAGGATTGAATCACCGACCCCAGGATTGAATCACCGACCCCAGGATTGAATCACCGACGCCAGGATAGAATCACCGACAACAGGCTTGAATTACCAACCCCAGGCTTGAATAACCGACCCCAGGATTGAATCAACGACCCCAGGATTGAATCACCGACCCCAGGATTGAATCACCGACCCCAGGATTGAATCACCAACCCCAGGATAGAATCACCGACAACAAGCTTGAATCACCAACCCCAGGATTGAATCACCGACCCCAGACTTGAATCACCGACACCAGGCTTGAATCACCGACCCCATGATTGAATCACTGACCCCAGGCCTGAATCACCGACCTCAGGCTTGAATCACCGACACCAGGCTTGAATTACGAACCCCAGGCTTGAATCACCGACTTCAGGCTTGAATCACCGACCTCAAGCTTGAATCACCGACCACAGGCTTGAATCACCAACCTCAGGCTTGAATCACAGACTACAGACTTGAATCACCGACACCAGGCATGAATCACCGACACCAGGCTTGAATCACCGACATCAGGCTTGAATCACCGACCCAAGACTGGAATCACCAATCCCGGGCTTGAATTACGAACCCCAGGCTTGAATCACCGACCTCAGGCTTGAATCACCGACCTCAAGCTTGAATCACCGACCTCAGGCTTGAATCACCGACCTCAAGCTTGAATCACCGACCACAGGCTTGAATCACCAACCTCAGGCTTGACTCACAGACCTCAGGGATGAATCACCGACCTCAGACTTGAATCACCGACACCATGCTTGAATCACCGACCCCAGGCTTGAATCACCGACCCCAGGCTTAAATCACCGACCTCATGCTTCAATCAACGACCCCAGGCTTGAATCACCGACCCCAGGATTGAGTCACCAGCAATAGGCTTGAATCACCAACCCCAGGTTGGAATCACCAATCCCGGGTTTGAATTACCATCCCCAGGCTTGAATCACAGACCCCAGGCTTGAATCACCGACCCCAGGCTTGAATCACCAACCCCAGGCTTGAATCACCATCCCAAAGCTTGAATCACCGACCCCAGGATTGAATCACCAACCCCGGGCTTGAATCACCTAAACCATCCTTGAATCACCGGCCTCAGGCTTGAATCACCGACCCCAGGCTTGTATCACCGAGATCAGTGTTGAATCACCGACCTCAAGGTTGAATCATCGATCTCAGGCTTGAATCATCGATCTCAGGCTTGAATCACCGACCCCAGGGTTGAATCACCGACCCCAGGATTGAATCACCGACCCCAGGCTAGAATCACCGAACCAAGGTTTGAATCATCGACCCCAGGCTTGAATCACCGACCTCCGGCTTGAATCACCGACCTCCGGCTTGAATCACCGACCTCCGGCTTGAATCATCGATCTCCGGCTTGAATCACCAACCCCAGGCTTGAATCACCGACCCCAAGCTTGACTCACCGACCTCCGGCTTGAATCACCGACCTCAGGCTTGAATCACTGATGTCAGGCTTGAATCACCGACCCGAGGCTTGGATCACCGACCTCAGGCTTGAATCACTAACCCAAGATTTGAATCACCAATCCCAGGCTTGAATCACCGAGCCCAGGCTTGAATCACCAACCCCAGTGTTGAATCATCAACCCCAAGCTTGGGTCACCATTCCCAGTCTTGAATCACGAACCCCAGGCATGAATCACTGACCCAAGCCTTGATTCTCCGACCCCAGGCTTGAATTGCGGACCTAAGGTTTGAGTCACCGACCTAAGGCTTGAATCACCGACTCCAGGCTTGAATCACAGTCCCCAGCCTTGACTCACCAACCACAGCTTTGATTCACCAACCCCAGCTTTGATTCACCAACCCCAGCCTTGATTCACCAACCCCAGCCTTGATTCACCAACCGCAGCATTGATTCACCAACCCCAGCCTTGATTCACCAACCCCAGCATTGATTCACCAACCCCAGCCTTGATTCACCAACCCCAGCCTTGATTTACCAACCCCAGCCATGATTCACCAACCCCAGGCTTGAATCACTAACCCCAGGCTTGAATCACCAACCCCGGGCTTGAATCACCAACCCCAGGCTTGAATCACCAACCCCAGCCTTGGTTCACCAACCCCAGCCTTGGTTCACCAACCCCAGCCTTGATTCACCAACCCCAGGCTTGAATCACCAACCCCAGCCTTGATTCACCAACCCCAGCCTTGATTCACCAACCCCAGCCTTGATTCACCAACCCCAGGCTTGAATCACCAACCCCAGCCTTGATTCACCAACCCCAGCCTTGATTCACCAACCCCAGTCTTGATTCACCAACGCCAGGTTTGAATCACCAACCCCAGGCTTGAATCACCAACCCCAGCCTTAATTCACCAACCCCAGCCTTGATTCACCAGCCCCAGCCTTGATTCACCAACCCCAGCATTGATTCACCAACCCCAGCATTGATTCACCAACCCCAGGCTTGAATCACCAACCCCAGCCTTGATTCACCAACCCCAGCCTTGATTCACCAACCCGAGCCTTGATTCACCAACCCGAGCCTTGATTCACCAACCCCAGTTTTGAATCACCAACCCCAGGCTTGAATCACCAACCCTAGGCTTGAATCACCAACCCTAGGCTTGATTCACCAACCCCAGCCTTGATTCACCAACCCCAGGCTTGAATCACCAACCCCAGCCTTGATTCACCAACCCCAGCCTTGATTCACCAACCCCAGCATTGATTCACCAACCGCAGCATTGATTCACCAACCCCAGCCTTGATTCACCAACCCCTGCCTTGATTTACCAACCCCAGGCTTGAATCACCAATCCCAGCCTAGATTCACCAACCCCAGCCTTGATTCACCAACCCCAGCCTTGATTCACCAACCCCAGCCTTGATTCACCAACCCCAGTCTTGATTCACCAACCCAAGCCTTGATTCACCAACCCCAGGCTTGAATCACCAACCCCAGCCTTGATTCACCAACCCCAGCCTTGATTCACCAGCCGCAGCCTTGATTCACCAACCCCAGCCTTGATTCACCAACCCCAGCTCTGATTCACGAACCTCAGCCTTGATTCACCAACCCCAGGTTTGAATCACCAACCCCAGGCTTGAATCACCAACCCCAGCCTTGATTCGCCAACCCCAGCCTTGATTCACCAACCCCAGCCTTGATTCACCAACCCCAGCCTTGATTCACCAACCCCAGCCTTGATTCACCAACCCCAGGCTTAAATTAGGATCTTACAGAAGTAACTTGAAGGTTCTTCTACTGAGTTATGTGTCACCTTCACTTAACAATTTTACTGACCTATTTGTCCATTATTGGAAAAGACCATAATATATATAATTA